AAGGCCCCTGGCAGCTCATGACCTCTCAGCTCGCGTTCACGAAGACAGACTTCCAGGGTGAACAAGGGGGCACAGAGCGACGGGAGGGGCTGTGCGCCTCTCTCTTCCCCTCCCACGCAGAGCCGGACACGTGCCGACGCAGCGCCAGCTCCGGCTTGCACAAAGCACCCAGCGCTGCACTGCCCAGGACGCGGGGTGCAGAGAGGGCAGGGGGAGAAGGGCTCCAGCCGGGCTGGGTGGGGACAACCCCCACCTGTACCATGCAAACCGCTTCCAGCACTGTGCCTGGAGCAGCCAGTGCCCTGCAGGCAGCAGAAGGCAGGGAGACGTGTGTGCACACAGGCTGGGGGAGGCTGTCTGTCACGGATGAGTGTGCATCAGCATGGGGATGTACGTGCACATAGAGAGGGAAGGTGCATGTGCAGAGAGAGGGGCTACATGCATGTGCGAGCAGGGGGGCACAGGCACATGTATCCTATAGGAATACAGGATGCGTGTGCACACGAGGCGGCTGTGTGTACACAGTACGACACATGAATTTTGCACTTGGGAGGTGGATATGTCCCACCATGGAAACCACCCCTGGTTAAGCCCCGCTGCCCTCCCAGGACCTGCCTCATGTCTTGCACAGAGCCTCTGGCTGGCACCAAGCATGGGGCTAACTGCAGAGGCTGGAGCAGAGATGGGGCTGGCGGGGTGGGCAGGCCCAGAGCTCAGTGCAAGGTGCTTGATGGGCTGTGGGGAAGGGGGCCTGCTCCAGTGCTACCACATCCCCATCTTCCTCAGGCAGCACAGCACCGAGCCGGCCGATGCTGGGACAGCTGTCCATCCAGCCAGGCCGGGTGAAAGGGAATGCAGCTGAGCTCCACGAGCCAGGCACAGTAAAGCAAAGACCTGGCACGGAAAATGCAATGGGGTCTCATGGTAGAGCTGATATCTTTTATCAGGCCAATTAGATGGATACCTGACCTGCTGTGGATGCACTTGTCTCTGCCCCCCCCAGGAGAGCTGGAGCCACAACCAGCCATGCACGAGGCCACGGCCGTGGGCAGCCAGAGCCTCAAGGCAGGGAAGTGGCAGGCTGGGCTGAGGGATCCAGGGCTGGGAAGGAGCAGGGAGCAGGTTTTCAAGCTGTAGGGTGCGATGGCTGGCTCTCTGCCCCGCAACCGGCTTCCCTGTGCACCAAAGCCCAGGCCCAGCATCCGGGGGGCTCCCAGACAAGGACCCCACTGCCCCAGTTGCAGGGTGGGCTGCACAGGCTGCACCGGAGCATGCCACGCTGCCAGGGCTCGGGGAGGGCAGAGCGCACGGCTGCGGCGGGCGCTGGGGGGCGGCAGGCGGGAGGAGGAGTCGGCTCCATCTCGGGAGGTTGAGCCTGGAGCCAGCTGCCATTGCAGCCGACGTCCAAATGAATTAAGCATGAGCGGATTGGGAGCTGGGCCTGCCTCGGCAGCTGTGCTGCAGGGTGACCCCGCCATGAACTGCACGCCCCCACTGCCTGGCACCCACGTCCTCCCGCTGTGCCCAACACCCATGCCACCGTCCTTCCCCTGCCCCAGATGTCACTCCAAAGCCGGCATCAGCTCCAGCTCCCCTTTGCCTGGCACCTGACCTCTGCCACCCATACACAGGACATCACGGGCTCGTCACCTCGACCTGCACGCCCGGGACATCCCAGCCTTTGCCTTGAACTGCGTGCCCAGGGCATCCCCACCGTCGGGGGCACAGACTTTTTGTCGGCACCAGGCATCCAGCAAGAGCAATCAGTGGCTTTCCAACCTCAGCCACCTCGCTGCTCTGTGCCACGTCCAGACACTTCTCGCTGGCAGCTTTCCCAACACCCAACGGCAGGTCTCTGCCCTTGCGGGCATCACCACTGGCCCCCCAGCCTGGGACGGACACACCAGGGACCCCTCAGACCCCCGTCACCCACACATGGAGCTTCCTAGCGGGGCAGCCCAGGCGCTCCCAGCCGGGCCACGCGGCACGCCCTCCCTACCCACAGCATCGGGTCTTGTGCCAGCTGGGGGAAGACGGGTTAACGCCAGCTGGAGCGGAGCAAAAGGCACGGAGGAAGGAGACCGGTGCGGGGAGAAAGCGTGTGCATGCGTGGGGGGTGCTGGCGAGGCTGACCTTTCAACCCCACATTGCTCCTGACCAGATGCCAAGTAGCGGGGTGCCCCATGGGGCTGCCAAGGGCCCGCCGCCCGTGCCACCCCGATAAGCCGGCCTTCCGGTTCACTTGCAGGCCACCGGGTAACGCAAGTCGGCACGTTCTTCACGCGCCCCCCAGCCCCCGTCTGCCACCAGGGTTATATTTAGCAACCACACAGGGTTGGATGGGAAGGGTGAACGGCAGGGCAAGCTGGGGAGGGGCATCGAATGGGGAAAGGAGGGCAGCACCCTCCTTCCTCCCCCCCAGCTCCCCCCTATGTCCCCAGGGGCAGGCCCCCAGCCTGGCACAGCCCAGGACCCCCACCTCCAGGTGCCAGGGCAGGACCCAAACCTTCCCAGGCAGTGTTACAGCCCTCGGGAAAAGACCCATAGAGCAGGATGGGCCCGGCGGGAGCCCATCCCCATGGCATCTGGGCCTGGGGTCTATCTGCATGCCAGCCCCGAGCTGCTACCACCTGGGCTCCCCCAGCCCCAGGGAAGTTAACTCAGGTCCCTTCCTCCCAGGAGCAGGACTGGCGTCATCTCCACTCAGATGCCCCTATGCCACCCCCCAACCCCTGCTTCTCGCACAGGGCCCAGCTAAGACCTGCACGCTCGTGCCCCTTGTGCCCAGCAGCTGAGCTCTAGCCCAGGCTGCAGCAGGGAAGGGCCCAGTGCAGGGAAAAGCCAAGCATGGTCCTGCCCCACAGCGACCGGGAGCAGACTCAGGGCACAGGCACCAGTCTGGGTCCCAGCCTCCATGGGCCCTGGGCTGCCCCCCTCCCTGCACTGGCAGCCATCTGCAGTGCCGCAGTGCCCTCTGGCGGCACAGCCTTGCCAGTGCTGCAGCCAAACCCCTCAACCCGAGACCCTGCAAGCCAGTGCACCCCCATTTCACTCCTCCCCATAGGCAAAGCAAAGCTGGCTGTGGGCTGGGAGCAGCTCACCCCTGCAGCGGGGTGCTGGCAGGGAGCAGGGCAAGTAACCAGCGGGGAGTGGAAGCTGCCCGGAAGAGTCCCAGCACACTGGGAGACACCTTAGGGCCTTACAGCCTGCCACCCAGCTCAGAGGTTTACCCCAGTGGGGCAAGTCCGACTGACAGGGACAGCGCAGAGATGGGGGAGCCAGCAGGGAGGGGGCACACAGTGCACCATGCAGCAACCCTTGATGCCCCCCTGCACTGGTTCTTGGGGGGTACGGTACCCACTGGGTGATGCTAGCTGGGGAGAGGAAGGAGGGGTGCAGGCATCGCCTGTGGTGCAAAGCCAAGCCCGGGGCTTGTACACCGGCACCCTGCTCCTCAGCTCTAACAGCAACTCCCTTGGGCCACTAGTCCCATCTCGGGGGTGTGGAGCCCAGACTGGGCATCCCCACATGGACACACGATGCCAGGCAGCCTCACTACCCCAGGGCTCCTGCACCCACATTTCCCACCCTGCCTCTCCCCAGAGCAGGCGAAGCTCAGCCCCCTGCCCCTCCGGTTCTGCGCTGAGTCTCACCCACCTCCCAGCCCAACAGCATCCAGGGTTTGGCAGTCCTACCTGGCACTGGGTGGCTCAGCTGCTTGGTCAGCTCCAGCCAGTTCCAGGGGCAAGTCTGCGCTCTGCTCACCCTGCCACCAGCATGGAGCCGAGCCACCAACCACAGCCCGAACCAGCACCCAGGGCCCCGGAGGAACTTGTGCATGCCTCAGGGGGGACTCTCCCAGGCCTACCCCAGCTCACCCAGCGCTGCCAGCTGAAGGAGCTGCCAGCAGCCCGGTGCCCGGGGGCTTGCCCCTGCCCCGACTCAGCAGCACCAGGGGTTGCAGAGCAATCTGTGCCCCCAGCTGGACCTGAAAGACCCAGCCTTGCTCCTTCCAGCAAGGCACTGCCCTCCTTCAGCCTGCGGCTGGCACAGGAATGGCTCATACCAGCCCTGCAGCCACTGCAAGGCTCCCCCCCTCCACACACACCCCAAGCCAGCAGCATGAGATGCATAGGCTGCACTAGGCTTCCCTGAGACCCCCCCAAGCTCTCCCACCCACCTGCTTCTCCCTCTGGACCCCACCTTGGCCCTGTCAGACAGAGCCGGTGCACCAGAGATGGGGCAGGGACCCGCACGGCGGCCTGGCAGGATGAAGCCCCACAGCCACCTGGCCACTAAACCTGGGTTTATTCTTATCTCTGCACACACGCATACACACGCACGTTACAGACACAGAGACGAGGAGAGTGGGGCCCAGCCCTCCCTCACCCACCCCTGCCGGCATGGAGTGAGGGGGGAGCAGCCCCCCACCTGGAGCGAGAGATGGGAATACTGGGAAATGCCCAGAGTGAAAGACAGAGGAAACACCAGTTTGCTAACCATGGGTGCCACAGCCCTGGCATGAGCAGGCAGTTCCCAGCCACCTACAGCCCCCAGGAGCAGCTCAGCCTGGGAGAGGCATCCAGCACCAAAGACAGAGACCTGCACCCACGGGGTCCACGGCTCAGCACCTGCAGCTGCCCACACAGAGGCCAGAAGCACCGCTTCTCTGTCCTCTCCACCAGGGAATCCTGCCCTCTGTCCAGAGGCAGCAGGCAGCTGTGGCCCCATTGGCATGGGGAAGAAGGGGAGTAGTGTCACCCAGGAGGGATGGGGGCAGGGGATGCCAGTCCAGACGAGCAGGAAGGGGGTTCCCCGATTTCGACAGCACTGATGCTCTTCAGAAGGATGTGAGCTCTGGTCCCACTCCCCTGTCCCCTGCCCAGAAGGGGAGCAGCCCCAGGGTAACAGGATGGGGCCCATGGATCTTCAGTGCCAGCCGGAGCGAGACCTGCCTGAGAGAAGAGGTGGGGGGAGAGTTAGGGTGGACCTGCACAGCCAGGAGCCGCTAAGGTAGGGGGGCGGAGGGGGGCACAGACCACCAGGCCTAGCGCGAGGCAGAAGCCTGGGGCTGGATCGGACCCCTGTTGTGTGGACTAGTGACCGGGAGCTGTGGGATGGGGAAGGAGTGCAAGGGGACATAGGTGAAGGGTCAAGGTGAAAACGGGGACTCCCAGACCCTGAGCCCATCTACCCGAGTGTCCACTGCCCCAGGGGAAGGTGTGTCTGGCGCCAGGGCTGGAATAATGCGGCTTAAACCCCGTCCCAAAGCCAGAAGCGTTGTCTCTCCGCCTGCTGGGACTAGGGACCCTCGTCACCCTCACGTGTGCCCAGCCCCTCTTTGTGTCCTGCCAGACTTAAGGACCCCACAACCTCCTGGGGCAGCCAGGGCACATGCACGCAGCTGGCCGCCCCTGCCCTTCCTTGATGCCTCCTTGCTCCCATGCTGCAGGAAGCAGCTTCCACCCAGCCACCTGGGCCTCGTCTGGACAGCTGCTAGTCACAGCCCCTCTGTCCTGAGTTAACGGCCCTGTCCTCTGCCCAAGGAGCAAGTCTGGGCCTCCATTCTTCCCACCCCCCACATTTACCCGTTGGGCCAAGCAGCTGGGCTTCACCCTGCTGTCCGCAGACCAACACCTCCAACCCTGAGCCTGTATCAGGCCACCAAAACCCTCCACAGCAGCTCCAGCTTTTCCTTCCGGCCGGTCTCACCTCGTGGTTCTCCTCCATCCTCACCCTACTCATGCACTGAGCAGCACCAGGCCTCTGCCATTCCTCACAGCCTCCTCAGGTCCCTCTACCCTTCCCTCAACATTTCAGCAATGGCAGATTTTGCCACCATGGGGCAAATACCCTCAAAGCTGGAGCAAAACCAGGACCGCTGCTGTCAGCTGTTTGCCAGCAAGTAAACAGACCCGTTTATTCTGCCTCTTAACCAGATGTTGGCAGAGGGCGACACTGCGTTCCTCACTGCTCATCTTTCACTGATCCTGTGGGGGCCATTAGAAAGCTGAAGCAATTGTGTCAAGCCATTCTCCTTCATCCACTCATCCCCCAACACGTCCCAATGCTAAGATCAGATGAGAGACTGACAGACAAACGGGCTGTTTAAATGCTGGTTTCCCAGCTCGCCAGGCACAGCTGCGGGGCTTCCAGGGCTGTAACTCCTCCAGTCAGCCCAAAAGCCTTTTCTAAAGATAGGAATGGCATTCACTACCCTGCCACCCCTGCTCCTGCAGCTGTTCTTAGCCCAGCCACTGCAGATCAGCGCTCCTTCCAGAGTGGACATGTTTTCACTTCGCCTACCTGGTGTGGCCTGGCTGAGTAATGGGAAGGTGACCTGGAAGGAGGCTGTGACTAGGACATCAGGGCTGGGAGGTTTCATACAGAGCAAGGGAAGGGGATAGGCAATAGACATCTCAGGGAATTAGGGGCAGGATTGACACTACCTCCAAGACAAGGCGGAGGGCAGAGTTAAGGGTGTTAGGACAAGTACATCTACCTTCTGTTGTGAATGCTTCCGATTAAAAACCCTCCACAGGTGCCAGTGGCATTGCCCTAAGCTCCCTCCTATATTCTGGCTGCCAAGAGATCTTGATAAACCTGGTCAAGGTGTTTGTACCACCTTGGCTTGAAGTTGCAGCAAGGTGGGATTAGCTTGGATCCCAGGGAAAGCTGCTTCACTGTTACAGCAAGGAGGCAGTGGAACAGACACCAGGGAAGCTGCCGGCTCTCCATCGCTTGAGGTGTTCAAGGAGAGGTTGGACAGCCACTGGTGGGGACAATCTAGGTGTAGCTGTGCCCAAGCTCTACTAAGGATACTGCTCATGCATCTGGGCTTTGTTGGTTACCCCCTCCCCACCTTTCTACCAGATGTGTCGGGGGCGGTTAAGCCTCCCTCAGAGGAATTGGGTGTTGGCTGCACCCAAGGCTGGGCACTTTGACTGGGCTGTGCCAGTGCTCCTGCTGGGACTTAAACCCAGAGGTTCCTGGCTAAAGGGTCTTGACCCTCCACTCAGTCAGACTGATGCCACATTTGGTGTCGGGAAGGAATTTTGCCCCCTAGTTGGATTGGCGCAGACTGGGGAGGTTTCAACCTTCCTCCCTAGCAGGAGGCATAACTTCTACCTGGGATCTCTTCAGCATATATTTACAAGCTTCTATAGAAACAGGACATTGACTGCTGTGGTTCCCCTGCTTTACCTGTGGCAGGCTCAGGTGCAATGTCTTGTGTTGCGTCAAGGTTGCCGATAGTTTTACTATAGTGTTTAGATGATGTATTTGTATGGGATGGTTTGGGTAGGGACGACCCTGCCAGAGGCAGGGCATTGGACTAGATATGACCTCTGCAGGTCCCTTCCAGCCACACTTCTCTATGATTGCACGCTGCAGAGCAGTGACAGCAGCCCACACTGGGAGCCTGAAGCTTGTCACTGCTGTGTACTCTCTGCTGTCCTCACACAATTCTGTATCACGGAGAAGCAGGGCTGGAAGGGACCTCCAGAAGTCATCTAATCCAACTCCTGCTTGAGACAGACGAGTGATTTTATGGGGCGCCGCCCGGAGGACACAGCTCCATTGCTCTGCCTGGCTGAAGCCTGGAGCAGGGGCTGCTGGGCTCCTGCCAGCTCCCCCAGACACAATGGCATGCTTGACTCAGAGCCCCCACATGCTCTCACCTTAGTGACCTCACCTCAGTCCATGCTGTCCCCCTGGCAGCCCATGGAGGGGTCAGAGGTCACGAGCTTGGCTCCTCCTGGGACGTTTCTGACAGGTAGCCCCTGGGCGACTCCACCAGGTAGGCATACGAGAGCCCAACCATCACCTGTGGGAGCAGAAAAGCCATCAGCAAGCAGTTCGCAGAATCAAAGAGCCAGGGGGAGTGAGAGATGCTCACCGTCAGCAGGCTGAGTAGGCCCATCATCACCCCCAGCATGATGAAGAGGTTGTCAGTCAGGCCTCCGGCCCACAGCGGGCCCAGGATGGTGGCCACTCCCCCAACCGAGCGCCGCAGCCCCTGACTGAAGCCTGCAGCGGGCGAAAAGCACAAAGGGTTAGACCCTGCGTCTGGAAGTGGGGAGGCTGGAAACAGAAGCAGGGTAAAAAGCAACGTGGGTTTAACCCAAGGGAGATTAGACAATACTGCTGCATCAACACTGTGAGCCGCGGGGCTCGCCTGACCCAAAGGATGCTCGGATCCCGTCACCTTGCACTCAATAGGGTGCCATGTAGCGAGTGGTCTGCGAAGATGGGGATCAGCGCAGGGTCTGCGAGTAGGACAAAGATCTGGCTACAAGGGCATAACAGAGAGGCCCGTCCCTTTAAGAGGGAGCAGTGAGCCCTGTTGAGAGAGCCCAGCTGCCGTGCACTTGGATAACGAGGGAGCATCCCCCTGGGAGCCTGCTGACAAAGGGAGATGAAGAACATCTCCCTGATGCTTCCCCAGCTGCCGGCTTTCTGGGGGCCAAAGCCAGGCCCCAGCGCAGAGCCCCAGGGCACAAACCAGGCATACCTGAAGGAAGACCCTGAGCAAAGGGGGTGGGAGGGCAGAGCAGCCTCCTGAAGGTCCAAGTGCATTACTGCCCTCACCTTGGCACCTGGGAGCAAAGGGGGTGCAGACGCCTGAACTCTGGGGGAGGGGCCCACTGAAAAGAGGCAATGATGGGGGGGTTGTCGAGCAACTGTGTTGCGCAGTGTGGGGAAACCCACAGCCCACAACTCACCCTGTGTCCTCTCAGCTGTCACCTTGGAGAAGAGCGAGACCTGGGAGACGGCCACAAAGGGGAGCCCCAGGACCTGCAAAAAAACCCCGACCACCAGCTCTCCCAGCAGGACACCAAAGCTCCCTGCAGACACAGCAGACAAAAGTCATAGTTTCATAGTTTCATAGATTTAGGGTCGGAAGGGACCTAGTAGATCTTCTAGCCCGACCCCCCGCCAGGGCAGGAGAACAAAACCCCAAAACAAGAAACGGGACTCAAATGAGTCCAGCCAGGTAGGCATCCAGCCTCTTCTTAAAGACCCCCAGGGTAGGGGCCAGCACCACTTCCCTTGGAAGTTGGTTCCAGCTCCTAGCCGCCCTAACTGTGAAGTAGTTTTTGCGGATGTCCAATCTATACCTCCTCTCCATCAACTTGTGCCCATTACTCCTTGTTATGCCAGCGGGCGCTAGGGGAAACAGCGTCTCCCCCAAACCCTTCTGGTCCCCCCTAGTGAGTCTATAGACGGTCACCAGGTCCCCCCTCAGCCTTCTCTTGTGGAGGCTGAATAGGTTCAGGTCCCGCAGTCTCTCACTGTAGGGTCTGCCCTGTTGTCCCCGGATCATGCGGGTGGCCCTCCTCTGGACCCTCTCCATGTTGTCCACATCCCTCTTGAAATGGGGCGCACAGAACTGGACACAATACTCCAGCTGTGGCCTGACCAGCATCGCGTAGAGGGGGAGGATCACCTCCTTGGCTCTACTCGAGATGCACCTCTCGAGTAGAGCCAAGTCAGTCAAGGGTGGAGAAGCCTCCAGACCCTTGGGAGCTGCAGCCAGCCCTGGGCACTCTCCTTAGAGACCTCAAGCCAGGGCCTGCAGGTTGTGCAGTAGACAGCTAAGCCCCTGGCACATCCCCCCACATGCTACCTTGTGCCAGCTACTGCCACCTTTAGCCATGGAGCAAAAGAACAGATGAAGCCCACCCTCACATCCTCTCCCTTGGGAACACCTCTGCTGCACATCGAGACGGGGGGCCGTACGGAGGTGGATGCAGTGGCATTTTGAAGTTTCTAAAGCAGGTAAAAGTCCCCACTCGCTTCTCAGAGGCAAACCCATCTCTTCCTCTTCCTTCCACTCCCCAACCTGCTGCTGCCAATGTCCCAGGAGCCGTGGAAGCATCAGAGCCCTTCCCGCCTGTGGGGGGCTGCACGTGGCTGGGGAGGGGACAGGTGCAGTGGTGATGGGCAGGGCTGCCCCTTCCCTGTGCCTGCCCCAAGGGAACCACATAAGGTGAGGTGGGGTGGGGTGGGGTGCGGAGGAACTACTCTGAGCCCTCCCAAGCTGAGCCCAGACTTGACCCAGCCCCTGAGAAAGCAGCAATAGCAGGCAGGGAAGTTTGCAGGGGAGGCAAGCATGCACCTCCAAGAAAGAAAGGGAAGTGATGGGGGATTTTCACCTGCTTTAGGGATCCTGATGGGGCTGGAGGAGGCTGGGAGCAGAGGATGCAGCCCCTTGCTGCCCTGCAATATGAAGCCCGCTGGGCCAGCCCACCAGACACCAGGCACCCCACAGCATCCTCTGCAGGGCTGGTGGGACCCTCCCCACCCCTGGCCGCAGGGAACAAACACAGGCCCCTGCAAGTTACCTTGGGGCCGAGCCAAAAACAGCAAGCACCAGACACAGGCCACGTTGCAGATGATGAGGCCCAGGACCAGGATGACACGGTCGGGGAGGCGCATGCTGAGACAGCGCACCAGGAAGAAGCCGCAGATCACCTGGGGCAGGGAGGGGAGTGGGGTTATCATGTGGGGACCCTGGCACAGAGCTAGGGCAGAAGGAAGGACCATGAGCCCCAAACAATGCCCCGCCCTGGGGTTCGGCATCTGTCTCACCTCAATGCCACACAGGAAGTACATGATGCTGTTCTCCAGCTCCCCGAAGTTCAGGTAGCGCTGGGTGATGGGGGTCACCATGGTCTGGAGAGAGACAGATGCATGGGGGCTCCTCCACAGCAGGGCAGGTGCCACGCTCCAGTGAAGGGTCTGAGGAGGCTGCCTGCAGCAGTGCCCGTGGTGTGTACTGCCCTCCCCTGCAGGCTGCCTAGCCCTGCTCAGCCGTGCAGCCAAGCCTTGGGGCTTCCCTGCCCAGCACGGCGTTTTCTGCTGCCTGGGCATGGCCACATCCTGCCCCACAAGGAGACCTTCACCAGGTAGGTCTCCAGGAGCCAGGGGCTCAGAGCCCGCCACCCACCCCAGGTGAGAGAAGCATCCTCACCCCCCCAGCTGGGTGCTGGAAGGAGTCCAGGGCACGAAGCAGAGGCAAGGGCAGACACCAGCTCCCCCACAATCACATCCAGAACCTCAGAGGGGCTAGAGAAGACGTCCCACCCTTCCTATACGTACCCCAGGGTGGCTCTGAGTGGGGCTGGGACCCCAAGGCACCCCCACCCCAGCTCTGGAGGACAAGAGCCCGTCTGAGTGGGTGCTGAAGGGTGGGAGCTGCCTGCAGCGCCCTGCTCCTCACCTCCAGGGCCGTCTGGTTGAAGAGCGTGATGAACTGGGCTGTGAGCAAAACCACCACCTCCTCCCGCAGGTATTCTGCAAAGACAGCAGGCAGGACATGGAGACACTTGGATGCGGCTGGTTCCCGTCACAGCTGCTTCAAGGACGACACTACTCCACAACCGTGAGCCCCTGCCACGCTGGGCTGACAGATCACGCTCCCGGCATCCCCCAGCTACTGAGGGCACCATCAGAGCTGCGGGCTCGATCCCAGCTTGGCCCACCAGCCCACGTGGCCCAGTCCCCTCAGGACAAGCCCTGCTTCTGGTGGACTGAAGGGAGAGTCTCCCATTTCCTGGTGGGCTTTAGGCACCCAGTAGAAGCTGAGTCAGGCTCTCCCCTGCCCTTGGCCTGTCTTTGGGGCAGGGCCTGACTCTTACAATGTGAATGGGCAGCACCCAGCACAACAGGGCCCCGAGCTCAGGTGCAGGGGGGCGGTCCTCTGGGTACACCTCCTCTCCCCACGAAATCCATTGTTGGCTCAGCTCAGGTGGCCTCTGGGGCCAGCACACCCCTGCCTGCCACACCCCACACTCACCATGTGTGTCCATGGAGACACTTAGCTGTGGGCACCATCCCCAGGACCACTGGCACATGCCCAGGCCAAGGAGCCATACAGGGAGGGCCACTACTGTGCTCCCCCCCGGGCAGCTGCCAGGACCCCCTTGAGACCATGGGCACTCACCCTTCATGGTGCTTAAATTCTGGAGCTGGCTCTTCCCCTTGTCATGCGCCTCCTCCTCAGCCAGGTGTCCATTGGGCACGTAGCGGTACTCATCCCCTGCATGGGGGTCAGGACCGCCGGGGGTGGCTGCTCGCAGGTCAGAGCCGGTGCTGCCGTAGCGGCTGTTCTCGGCCCCCTCCTCCAGGCCGGCATCATGAGGCACCAAGGGCTCCTCCTCCTCCTCCTGTGGCACAAGGGCCGCCCGCTGCAGGTGGGCTGAGGGCGGCAGGTCATAGTACATGGCCATGACGACGAACTGGAGCAGGATCCACAGCAAGCACATGAAGAGCTGTGTGGACACAGGGACAGAAGGACGGATAGCAGAGCCTCTGTGGCCTCTTGCCAGGGTCCCCAGGGCCCCCCAGAGCTCTGCACATCCTCCCCATCCCCAGAAGCCCAGGACCAAGAGCCCCAGATACTCACTCCAGGGGATGTGAATTTGTTGACCTCAAAGGGCCCCAGACGGAAGTTACAGAGCCGCAGGAAGAGGTTACAGGCAGGTCCTAGGTGCAGACAGATAGCGGGTCAGAGGCACTGGGAGGAAACCGGAGGGCAAGGAGTGCTGGGCCCCCCTGCTACCATGCACCCCAGGGCAGGAGGGGCAAGGCCAGTCACCAAGGGTGTTTCTACCCTGACGGGCACCCCTCTCCTCCCCTCACTGCCTTGCACTGACAAGCGCTCAGTGCTCTGGCAGGAAACCCTCTGCAAGGGACCCAGCAAGGGAATCCCCTCCCCAAGAGAGGCACAGCCCCTATCCCCACCCAAGAAATGCCAGGGTCCCAGGCCCACCCTTCACTCCTGCATGTGGTCAGCGACAGCGTTCAGGAGGCGCCTGCCACAAACCCTGAGAGCTGGTAAAGCAGAGCCTCGGCCCCCCAAACACATGCACACAAACACCTCCCTGGCTTTGAGGTAAGGCTAAGGACATCCAGACCAACCCTGTCAGAGATCTGTCCAAGCCGGCACGTGCAAGGCTCCCCTGCCCCCTCTCTTGGCAGCCTGCTCCACTACCGTGCTGTTCCCAGCCCCAAGTCTGCTAAGCCGATTACCCCCCACTCTGCCCCGGGGGGATGTGAGGAACAGTGCATCCCCCTCGTGCCTAGGGAGGAGAGGGCCTTGCCCCAGGAGCCTTGAGGTCCCTCCATCTTCTCATCCCTAGACCCCAACTTGCTTAGCCTCCTAGATGGACTTTCCTAAACATCTCAGCCTTCCTGACCTCAGTTCCAGACCATCTCCAGCACCTCCACCTCTCAAAGCACAGTGCCCAGGACTGCACACAAGACGCCAGCCAAGGCCTCACCAGCACCAAGAGCAGCTAACACCTCTGACACACGATGCCCATTAGCCCAGCCAACCCCAGAGGCTTTGCAGAGTCAGGTCCCTTCCTGAACCCTGGCTGAGAGAAGGACCTGCCAAGTAACCAGGGGCTGAGAGAGCCACAGCAAACAGCTGCACAGGGCTCCTGAGGCACTCGAGCTGTTTGCTGCAGCTTGTATTGCCCAGGGCGCTGCTTCTCCAAGCCACTCTGCAGGATGCAGCTGTGCTCCAGCTAGGTGGAGAAGCAACTGCTGGCTGTGAAAGCTTGCACAAAAATGCAAGACAGTGGCTGGGGCAAGAACTGGGTTGTGGTGACAAGCCTGCCACAAGAAAATCAAGTCTCTGCGATGGCTGCAACCTATTAAGGCACAGAGACAGTGGAGCTTGTGGCACCCAATACCAGACCCATGCCATAAAATAATAAGAGTGATGGTTCCTCTAAAAGGAAAATTGTTGGCAAAGACCTGACACACACAACACGTGCATCTCCAAGCTCAGAGAGCAAGGAAGAGGCTGAGCCAGCGTAACTAGAGAAGGCAAGGAAGCTACATATATATTTCAACTGAACTAGCAACTAAAGAAAACAAAATATGCATTTCAAGCAAAACCTGTAAAAGGTGCATTGAATACAGGAAAGATGTCCTGTACGTGACATCCTCATATTTCTCAAAACAGGCATCCAGTGTCTAAAGCATTACAAATGTCTCAGTCATTCAATGTCTGTCTGAAGTTTTGTAGACAGACCATCACCAGTACAAGCTATTGCAAATTTGCCTCACTGATAAACAAATACTCCAAAACAGGCCCGGTAACCAATGCCTCTAGGCATCCTGTTTAGCTACTCAAGACCCATCACATTTAACTGACCCATAACTTCAGTAGCTGCGAGAAACACAAGTTCTTCACACCTGGACAAATCCAAAAACAGGAGCCAGGCAGTTTAACAATTGTAACGTGACGGTCACCCTTTTCCTCCCTGTTTTGCTCTGACTTTAACTGACCAACCATCAAGGAAAAATGCTTTGAGGCTATATAATTAAAACAGTATAAAAAGCAAGACAGAACTGCCAGCAAGGTGTGCAACCCAGAAAAGATCAAGAAGCCATCCTGCACCCAGCCCGGGAGTAAAGGACCCACACTTTGTAAAGGCTGCAAGACTAGCTTCCCTGCCTGCGTAGGGAAGAAAACACTGCTGCAGCTAAATATGTATTAGGACTTTCTGTAATAGCTCATTTTATGTTGGGCAAGAGTCTTTTTTCAGCTTTGTAGCTTGTTGGTAGTTATTAAAGCAAGCCTTTCTGCTAATGAATCAACTGAGTGTTGTGTCAATTCTTAGGTAGGTTTAAAAACCAACTTTTAAGTGCAACAGCAACCTTTGAGACAAAAGCCCTCTATGACCCAACACAAAGCTGCCAGCCGCCGTGGTACGAATGATCCGGGTTCTCCTGTGCCTCTCAGGATAAGACCAGCCTTTCCCTCCACAGCCCCATGCCATGGCCTCCTGCTCAGTGCCCCCGCGGGTCCTACGCTGCAGTCCTGCTGCCTCACCAGCTCTCCCCAGTCTCATATTCACCCTTGGATTTCTCCTCCCAGGCAGCTCCCTGCACACTTCTCTATCAAACTCCATCTTGCCGAGCTCGGACAGCTCCTCCAGTTCTGTGCAGCTCGTGCTCCCTCTTCCAGACCCTCCACCTGGTCCAGCAAAAGGGAGGCTCTTACCAATCAGGAGTCCAACCTGCCGACATGCCATGACCACTGCAAACACCGTAGCGCGCTCTTGCGAGGTGGTGGAGCGAGTGAGGTACCCAAAGATGGAGGCACCCGCTCCTGTCCCGACACCTGTGACAGAGATGTGCAGGGCCAGGGGTGAGAGAGATGGTGCAGGCACCTAAAGCCCCTAGGATACAGGCCTGGATGCCTCCAGCTCTTACCTGCCACAAGCCGGCTGCCCAGAAGGAGCCATTTGGAGATGCCCATGAAGTACATGAAATTCCCTGAATCGGGGACACAAGAGCAACAGGTAACACAGACAGGAAGGTGCAACGAGACAGCCCACGGGGCCGAGGCAGCTGGAGACAGCTCCCCAGAACCAGCAACATGGGGTGCGTGTCACAGGGTGCACGTGTGACTGCAGGCTGTGGTCAACCCCACAGGCCTGTGTGAGGGTCCCACGCTGAGCTATGGGCCTTCCCATGGGTCGTGCAGTTTCAGTCGCTGCATATAAAATGGGGCACTGCTGTCTTCCCTCAGGGGGGGCTGGAATCTGAAGTACGAGGTCCCCCCCAGTCTGCTCTCACGGCCTCACCTGCAATCTCAAACGTGTTGGCAAAGAGGATGATTGCTTTGGTGTGCTGGGTGCGGTCCGACCAGAGCCCGAAGAGGGGCCCTGACAGCAGGCCAGTGAGGCTGAAGGCAGAGATCCCCAGGCCCAGGAAGTACGGCTCCGCATGGAGAGTCTGCAGGTAGGCCCAGATGGTTGGCAGGATCACCGCTGGCAGGCAAGGAAGACAGACAGACAGTCAGAGACAGCCCCAGGCTGAGTCCCACCAGGACACCCCACACCAATACTGAGCCTGATCCTGGATCCAGCCAGCGAAGGACTCATCTCAGCGCAGCGCCAGGCCACCCAGCTCCTGACCCTCCCCCACCCCCAAATTGGCACGGGCTGACCAGTGACAAGGACAGCAAAGGCCATCTGGGTCCCTGAGACCCACCAGCTGGGGGTCCCACCCTGCCCACCTCAGCTGATCCAGCCATTGGGGCAGCTGGACGGCTTCTCCGGATGCCTGGCACAGCCAGGTGAAGCGTCAGCCACGCAGACGGACCCTCCGCAGCCACAGCGAGCTCTCCTAGTCCTTCCCTCTCCCCCGGGAGACAGCGCTGGCTTCCCAGAGACATAGGAACCTCCTGCAATGCCCCTTCCTGCTCAGAGCCTCCCCACTCAGGCTGCACGTGGCTAGTCCGGCATATCCCAGCATATCCCGAGGCATTTGGTCAGCGGTAAGAGTAGGAAAGGACAGCGCGTTTTTTACGGGGCATGCCATTAGAGCAGCCACGGCCATGTCGCTTCCTCCGCACAGGTAGCACAGCTAGAAAGCTCCACGAAGCTCTGTACAGCTAGCAGCAGATCCCCCCAGCCTGCCTCGGACTGCCCCCTGTGCTGCACCCTCCCGTTCCTGAAAGCACAGGTTATCTCGACTGGCCAACTCCAGATGTCCCAGGCAGGCAGCCAAGAGGTGGTGCTGCCCCATGGCTCGGTGACTGCTCTCTGATCACCCGCAAGGGAGCTCTGGAGTTTCAGGTCCAGGGCCAAGGAAGCAGAAAGGCCCCTAAGTCACCCCAGACACCAAGAGCATGGCCAGGGCAGGTCTCTGGTGTCAGGCAGGGAGGCCCCACGGCCAGTTTCTCCAGCCAGGCTCAGCTCGCCCCTGTCTGCTTTCCCCCAGGGACAGAGGTGCTGCAACACCGTTGCCCACCCCCACCTGCTCACCCTTGCCCCGCTTCCCTCTGCAACGACGGAGCCAGCTGCTCAAAGAGAGATCTGTCTGGCTCAAAGTCTTTTTGGTGCCCTTGGAGGCCTCCCCTGTAGGAGTTGGCAGCGCACTCAGCTCCCCACTCCCTGCTCATTTTGGGAGGGCTCAGCACCCTCCCACCCACGCACCAGGGCTGGCTCTATGGCCCTATCCAGCATAAACCAAGGACTGACTAACCCCTGGGCCTCAGTTTTCCACATTCCCAGAGAATGGGAGAGCAGGGACTGCAAAGCGGTAGCTCTAGGGGGGCAGATCATGCTTGGATTATGGAGGAAGAAAGGGCAAGGTTGGGACGTGGAGGATGCTGGAGATGAGCCCATGCCTCGGTGAAAAGGGAAGCTGCTGTAAATTGTATAGGGAGTAAGCAGGGGGTTGGGATCTCAGTCCAGACCCTACTGTTCTTAGGCTGGAGGTGACATCCAGGAGGAAACAGAAGGGAGACAGACCAAGCAGTGGGGTTCATGGAGTGCTAGCAACAGAGGAGGAGGAGTGCAATCCATTGGTGG